ATCCAGTAATTTAGGTCAGTATCGGACCGATACCGATATGTAATATCGGATCGGTCCATCTCTAGTACAAAGCTTTTCCTCTCACACTGCTGATATATCTGCTGGAGCTGTGTTACTTTCATTCTTCATGTATGTGTGTAATCTCCTTATATTTTTCAGGAAAGATGTTGCTTCGTAGTACAAGGTGTCACGGGCTGTGGAGGCAGACTGTGTGTGGTTCAATGAGGACCCAGGTGCAGAAACAGGCGAGTAGACCAAAACTAACTTGAACAAAAAATGAGCCTTTATTAGGTGGCAAAAACAAAGCAGTAAGGACAGAGGCAAAGTTAAACTGGAACCTAAACTGAGAAAACGGAGTCTTAACGATGACAACTAGGAAGACAATGACAAGGAGACTGTGACAACTATGAACAGGACTTTGTGCAAGAACTATGAACCATATACATGATCAAGCAACACGAACTTGACCTGCACAGAGTCCTGAAGTACATAACCTGACGTGACATAAGGGAAGGTACACAGATGATGTGACACTGAACAAAAGAAGACGGAGGTCTTAAATACACATGAGGTGATCAGGGGAAGGGGACACACATGAGGAAACAGCTGACTAGAATGAACCTAATGACGCCACAGAGGAAGTGTAAACTAATCGCATAGATCATGGAAACAAGACTTTGAAAATAAACAGGGAACCTGATGGGGAACAAAAATGACCCGAACTTGACAACATGAACCATACAGAGAAAAAATAGGTAAGAGACACTAAGCAACAAGGAAGACTTAACACAGAGGAAAATCGCACAATCAATCTAAATGAACAAAGAACTATAACTAGGAAACCTAGGAGCTAAAGAAGACTAAATGAACCAAAACATAAACAATGAATATCAAAATGCAATGAAACACTAAAACACTGTGTCACACAACAATAATCCTGACACAAGGCCCAGTTCGGTGTATTTATAGTCCCATTTTCTCCTTGTTGAAGCTCCTCTGTATGTTTTCTGGTTTGTTCCCTGGAATTGGTTTGTTGGTTACTTATTTATTGTGAATCACTTGTACTTTTGACCTTTTGCATTCTCTTAAATACATTAAATAAATATGTTTTCAGTCACGTCTGCGTGACTCCTGCATTTGTGTCCTGCAAAGTATATCAGGTGTTCTCTCTAAAGACTTGTCATATGTGAGTGCACTAACTCGGGTGAAGGTTTGGCTAAAAGAAAATTAGAGCTGTTAGTAATTCATTTTAAATTATGTATGTAATTATTGTGTTTTTGTTTAAGTTTTAAATCTTTAGTGTTGCGGTTTAGGGATAAACACTTTTCCAACTTGTCACTGAGCCACTAAGCACCGCTGTGTTAGAATGAAAATTGAACTGAACTAAATAAAAAGATATAGAACTGAGCATCCTTGATCAGGTCCTCAGAATATTCCTGCTGAGAGGCAACCACATTCCTGATCATCGACACCAGAATTCATTATACAAATATATATATGCAGAGCGAGGCTGCTGGTCAGTACATGAAAGATTGGATGTGTAATTTAAAAGGTTTAATTTGATGGTGTGTTCAGTAATGTCAAGAAGCACATAAACACAGAGGTGAATGAAGATGTTTGACTACATCATAGTAACAGTAGAGAAAACTTTATTCATCATTTACAAAGATAATGCAAAAAATTATATCTGAAAAAATGAGGACTCTGAGTTATGTAATTAATAAAAAGAATCATGAGACATTTCATGAAATAAAGAAAAATTTGGACATTACAGAAAAAAATGAATTTCTATTGCAACTAATTTTTTACTGATAATTAAACATTTTAAAAATGGCACTTGTTCATTTATACATTTACAGTATAGGTTCAAAATATGCACAAAAATTAGGCTTATAAGAAGAGACAACTGAAAGGAAAATTATGTTAGAACTCAGGAACACAGAAGTGCATGTAACATGTAACAACAGCTAATTACTATACATGAGATGAATTAGTTTTACCAGTCAGAAGCATATTTAATGTTGGTGTAATGACCTGTAGTTTAATGATGACACTGCTGAGACTGATGATCACTAATCAGTTTCTGTGCTACTTTAAAGATTCTCTTATCTAAATGACAGGAAGAGAAGAACATCTGACGTTTCATTTCATAAAATGCTGCAGGCTGATGAGCTGCTGATCTCTTCTCCCAAAATATTTTTCATCAACTCATTTAGTTGATCTTTTTGTTTTTCCTGGAGGTCTTCTATGTCCTCCTCATTAGTTTGATTCTTCATTTGTTTTTCATGTGTTAGCATCAATTTCTTGATCTTGTTCAAGTTTTCAGTCTTTTTGGTCACACGTCTCACTAAGTCATACATTTCCTTCTTATGTTCTTCCCTTTGTTTTGCTAAATCATCCACGTGTTTCTTCTGGGCTTGGTTGAACTCTTCAGCTTTCTTTCTGGCTTCCTCTTCATGTTTCTTCTTTAGATCATCCAGAGTTTTCTTATGAATTTCCTCCAATCCTTTTATTTCCTCTTCTCTTCTTCTTTGATCGTCTTCTTTATTGATTTTTTCACATTCCAGCTTTTCGTTATAATCTTCCTGTAGTTTTTCCATTTTTTCTTTCTCTTCCTCTCGTCTTTTGTCTTCGTCTTGTTGTTGTTTGTCCCACCATTCCTTCTGTTCTTTCTCCCACTCCTCTTGTTTTCTTCTCATCTCTTCTCTGGCTTCTTCCAGTTTTCTGTCCACATTTTCTTTTGCCTCTTTTTCTGACTGAATTTGTTTGTCCACCTTTTCAAGTTCTGCTTCAAACTCTTGTCGACGTCTTTCTTCTTCAGCTTCCTTTTCCCTTTTCTCCTTTTCCCTGACTTCCTGTTCCTGCTTTCTCTTCTCTTCTTCTTCTCTAATTTTATTTCTCATTTTTTCGAGTTCTTTTTCTCTCTGTATTCTCTCCTTTTCTCTCTCTTCATCAATTCTTTTCTTCATAGCCTCCATATCTTCTTTATATTTTATTTCCATCTCTTCCTTTTCTTTCTGCATCTTTTCTTCCTTCTCCTTTAAAATCTTCTGCATCTCCTTCCTTATCGCAGTTTCAGACTCTTGCAGCATCTTGTTGGTAAAGCAGCGCCTTCCATTGACCTTCATCATGCTTTCAATCTTTGCTATCAGCTCAATGACTTGTGTGCGGTTTTGTTTGTCACGGTTATTGAACACATGGTATGTATCTCCACAGTCAGAGATCAGCTTCTTAAAGGAATCATCACAATTGTTCTTGATGTAGTCCTCTATGGACTCTTTGTCATGCTCCAGTGTATCTCCTCCTGTTAAAAGAACGATGGTGAACTTTTGAGAATTTCTCCCAAAGAATTGCTTGATGAGTTTCAGTGTCTCCTTCTCCTCTGCTGTGAATCTGCCGATATGAATCACCAACAGGAAGACATGTGGTCCTGGAGCCAAAAGACTGACACATTTCACCAGCTCCTCTTGAACCCCTTCTGGTGACAAACTTGTGTCAAACAGACCAGGAGTGTCGACCACAACAACAGGACGACCGTTCACCTCACCCTCTACTTTCTTACAACATTTGGTGACCGACATTTGACTTGATTTAGCTGTAAACTCGTCTCTTCCTAAAATGGTGTTTCCTGTAGAGCTCTTTCCACAGCCGGTCTTCCCAATCAGCACAATCCTGAGACAGTCTGAGTCCTGTTCTCCAACTTCACCACCTAAAACATGAAAACAATCAGAGTTAACACTTGTATACTGGATTAAAACTCTGGGTCATTGGAAAATATCACAATCTAAATTACTTACCAGTGACAAGTTTTAAGACTTTCTCCATTTGTGCGTGTAAAAATGTTGCAGTTGTATAACAGCACAGTTGTCCTGTAGGCTGACTAATTTTGTTCACAATCTCAAACATCTCTGGGATCTGCTGTTTGTTCTTGGTGTTGAGAACAACTGATCTTCCTCCAGCGCTCTCACAGAGCTCCTGGATGTCTTCATTGTCCTTTAGAAAGTTACCAACAGCTGGATCTGTAGGATCTGAGTCCACAGTGAACAGAATCATGGTGAAGTCATTGACTCGAGAGCTGAATGCATCCTGGATGGTCTCTAACTCTCCCTTGTCTTCATCAGTGAGGGGAGCCACAGGTAGGACCAGGATGAAGGCATGGACACCCTCAGGATCACAGAGGGAGATACACCTGAATGATTCCTCCATCACTGCCTCCTGAGGTTTTCCATACAAGGCAGGCAGCTCCACCAGGGAAACCCAACGACCACACACCTCTCCCTGATGTTTAACACACTCTGATGAGTTGGAGGCTGAATGAAGCTCAGTCTGACCTAAAATGGCCTTGGCTGCTGACGTCTTCCCTGCTCCTCTCCTCCCACACAGAACCAGGTTCAGACTGGACTTCAGATTGGGTTTAGCCTCTTCTTTTAACATGAGATATTTTCCCCAGTTTTTACTCACTATCTCATTCATTTCTTCCATCAACTCTGAGGAATCTGAGAAGGAGTCTTTCCTGTCAAAATTAACGAAGTGCTGCCTTTGTTTGGATTCTTCAATGAGTTTATCCACTGAGTTATTCCCTTCCTCATTATGTGTTCGGATCACTATGGAGTGATTGAAAGCATCTTGACCAAACAAGCTCAGGACCAAATTCAGAGTTTTTCTGTTCTTCTCAGTGAAATCAGAAGGTTTCACTAACAGCAGCAGAACGTTTGGTCCAGGAGGACATAGACTCACACAGCTCTTCATCACTTCAAACAAGGTTTCAACAGGCAGACTGAAGATGTTGGGAGTCTTTACTACTGTCAACGGTTTCCCGTTCCACTCTCCAGAGGCAGCGCGACATTGCTTTCCTCCAAGAACTTTAGACACAATGGATCTTTTCTTCCCAACGATGATTTTTTCCAGGGCTGATTTCTTGTCATCACTTTTTCCAAACAGCATTATCCTGAGTTTATGTGCTGCAATACAAAAGATTTTACAGTATTAACTTTTAAAAATTTTAAAAGCAGATTTTTTCACTTCTCTCCGGGTACTCCGGCTTCCTCCCAGAGTCCAAAGAAACATGCAGTTAGTGGGGAAAGGTTATTGGAAACTCTAAAATTGCCAATAGGTGTGAATGAGCGAGTGCAACTGGTTGTCTGTGTATATGTTTTAGCCCTGCGACACACTGGCGACCTATCCAAGGTGTACCCTGCCTCTCGCCCTAAGACAGCTGGGATAGGCTCCAGCTCCCCCTGCAACCCTGAAAAAGGATAAGCGGAAGCGAATGGATGATTCCTAAGAAGAAGAACTCCAAACACAACTATGTCAGATATATGTATAGGGCTACCCACGGCCTTTCCCTGAGCCAGCCCCTGTGAAGCAGCTCATCAATCAGCACCTGGTGGATGGACCTTTACTCATGGGCCCTTGCTGTGCTCAGCCAGAATGCACCATATGTGACTGAACCTCTGTGGGCCCACCCCCTGCAGTTTTATTTGCACTATTTTTTTTTTTTTTTTTGAACATCAGTTGGAAGCATAAGGATGACTATGAGTCATTAGGTTAGGGTTGCAAGTCTGGGATCAGTTTTTGGAATCATAGGGGTTTCGAGTTTTCAGCTGCAAATAACTGCACTTAAAATAAAAACATGGAAGATGACATCTTCACTGATCTCACATTTTATTTTATTCTTAATGATTATAGTTTTTTGTAATAAATTGGATTTTTCACTGATACGTCCTTTTGTTTGTTTGTCCTTGTTTTTTGGCTGTTCGTATTAGGGGTCACCACAACAACATCTATTACTCTATCACTCCTCTTCTGTTACACAAATCCTCTGAATCCAATAATCTTTTCCGTGCTCTTCCTTTTTCACCTCTGCTGCCAGCTCCATCTTCATCATCTTTTGTCCAGCATATCCACTACCCCCTTCTTTACATGTCTAAACCATCTTACTTTGTATCCTAACTTCTCAATCTGAGCTAAGGGATATTTAAGTGCTACATCTTTTTTTATTGAAGGATTGTAGGTTTTGTAATTCTCTGATGAAAACGCTGAACATAAAACTGATCATCACATTATTTCATTGCAAAAAAAAAAATGTTGTTCCTGCACTTACCGCCCCTAACAGGATCCAAGCTGGGAGAGACTTTTTCTTTTGGGTAATTACTGGACAAAACAGATTTTTTGTTATTGAAAACATTACAGCTCACATGTTCTCCCATGCTCTTCCTCACCACTGTATCTATGGCTGCTAACAGCTGCTCTTGTTCCAGGTTCTTCTGCCACAACAATTTTTCTCTACATTTCTTGATAATCTCTCCTAACTGTGGATGCTGCTGATACTTTTCAATGGAACTTGAACTCTTGTCTTTGGGCATTATCAGAGCCAGTGAACGATCAAATGATGGATCACCGAAGAGTTCAAGGACCATTTGTAGCCTCTGTTTGTGATCCTCAGTGAAGTCTGCAGGCTGGAGGACCAGCAGGAACACATGAGGTCCAGGAGCAGAGAGTCTCACACAGTTCTCAACTTGTTTCCTCAGATCTTCTGGGGAGATTTTAGGAGACAGCAGATCTGGAGTGTTGATGAGATCTATTTCTTTCCCCTTCAGCTCTCTTTTGACTCTCAGACAGAGGTCTGCTTTATCCTCAGAGCTGAACACAGTTGCTCCCAGTATGCAGTTCCCCACTGAGCTCCTCTTAGACCAGCTGTTCCCCAGCAGAACGACCCTCAGCTCAGACACTGAAAAAAGTATAATTAGTTCAATTATTGAAAAACTAAGTTCATTTTCAATAGAAAATTATCAGTTATTAATCGTTTTTTGTAGTAGCTTTAGTCAAAAAAAAAAGTAAACAAAAAAAATAAAATGTACACTTTCGTTTAATCCCTTATTTCCATTTCATCTAATAAAGATTGTGACTTGTTACTAACAGGCTGATGAATGAGCAGGAAATCCAGGATTAGTAGAAGCTTCATCCATTTTTTTAAATCCTAAACCTCTTGACACAACATTTGATGCATTAAATTATTATTATTACTATTTTTAATTTTATTCATCATATATGAAATGCTGTTAGTTTAACTTACACTCCTCAAAGTCAGAGCTGCTGTGTTCTGGTTGATTGAAATCCTCATCTGCAAAAATATAGAAACAAATTCAGCATTCCAAATTTATTGAGAACTCTCAACCAATTAGAAAGAGAAGGGGGAAAAAAAGCATCCTCTTTATTTAGTCCACAATAACGTTTCAGCTTCCAACATTTAATTCTGAAGTTTTGCATTGAAAATTCAGTTTCAGGAATACCTGTAATTAAAATCAGTTATTCAAACTTAAAAGAACTGCCATTAGATTTGACCATTTAGCTTAAGTATAGGTTATGTTGAAACATGCAGGTCAACAGAAAACTATTCAGTCAGTTAAAAAAAAAAACACTGAAATTTTTAAAATGCTTTTACACTACAAAATTATTCATAAATCCCACCACTGGAAAAACTACCTAATACTGGATTTAGAGAATCTGATATATAAACACAAATCATCTGTGACACTTACTTTCATGCATGTGTACTGACGTGTGCACCTTTTTGTGTTTTTGATGCCCTTTCATTGTGTCTTACTGCAAAGCACTGATCACTTTCAGTCGTCACGAACTAATAGACATTGGCCTCAGCCCGAATTTTACTTCTGATTGAACCGACATTATCCCACCTGAGATTTAAGACTACTGGTCTGTCCGGGGGTTATTGTTGTGAACAGCAAGCGATGCAGACAGTGCAAGGAGAGGAAACAAAAGCGGGAATACAGAGTTTCAAAAACAACAACATAAACCCCTGCCGCCATCAATCTTCCTTACCAACATAAGATCCCTTGAAACAAAATGAAGGATCTACAATCAGAGATTTACTACAACTCCTTTGTCTGGGAGTGTTGTCTACTGACTGTAACTGAATCTTGGCTCCATGCAAACATCCCTGATATTCTACTCAGGCAAGTCTCTGAGGGTCATGTTTTTTTACTTTTCCAGTACTTTCAACACCATCAGGCCGACCCTCCTGGGTGATAAACTGACAGTGATGCAGGTGGATGCTTCTCTGGTGTTCTGAGTTGTTGATTACCTGACAGGAAGACCACAATATGTGCATCTTCCACATTGTGTGTCTGACAAGGTAATCAGCAACACAGGGACACCACAAGGAACTGTCCTCTCCCCCTTCCTCTTCAACCTTTACTCCACATGGCCATGTTTTAATAATCATCTGGGTCATTAAAAAATGGCCAGATGATGCCTTCCTTCAGATACAGGTTTCAATCTGACAGACTGGTCCATTTTTGAACAGCAGGACCTGGAGACATTCACTCAGTCTGTCCTTTTCTATATTAAGTGCTGTGTAGACAACATGACAGTGGCATAAACCATCTGGGTTTTTCCCAACTGATGATGTGTGAAGTCCAGGCTCTGATCAGAACTCGTAACTCAGCCTTCAGGCTGAGGGATAGTTCTCTGTACAGCACTGCCAGAGCCAACGTGGGGAGGGGCATCAAACAGGCCAAGGAGGCCTACAGGAGGAGGATAGAGGGCCTCCTCACTGACAAAAACCTCCAACAGCAGCTTCAAACTGGCAGAGGAGCTAATAATAAATAAATAAAGAATTGAATTGAATTGAGGCCACTCCTCCCCCACACCCCCGTACCCCACCTGCCTTCCAGCAATATGAGGCCAGGAGGAGACTGAGTGCGTTTAACCCCCAGGAGAGCTGCCGGTCCTGACGGCATCCCAAGGGCTGTGGTTAAAGCCTGCCTGGACTAACTGGAAGGGATCCAGGCTCCTTGACTCATGCCATGGTTCAGAATCAGAATCAGAATCAGAATCGTGTTTATTGGCCAAGTATATGTGCAGACACATACAGGGAATTTGGTTCCGGGAGATGGAGGCTCTCAAGCACAGCAATGTAAATCTCTCACACACACACACACACAAGTGTCTATATATACACATTACACATACATACACAAAGCTGTGTAAACCAACTATAAATAACGAATCTAAACTTATATACATAAAATACAGAAATGAATGAGGTGGAATGAATACT